GTTTCGAAATTTAATACAGCAGAATAATCACTTTTATTAAAGTCATGAACTTTAATTTAGAGAAGGATATTAGTAATTATCTTCATGTTTTTTGTAATTTTATTTAGCCTCTATTCCTTAGCTACTTGTGTCCAAATCTCTTCTTATAAATGTATTATTCATAATCTTTTTGATTTTCATGATCTGATTGAAACCCCAAAATGTTTTTAATTTCCTCTTTTCTAAACATTTCAATAATAGTACTGAAGAATATTTCTTCAATATCTTTTGACTATGCTAAAACCTTCTATAATTCTAAATTCTATTCTAAAGTGCTTTTCATATTTTTTTTTTTTTTTAAAATAATGAATTTCTAAAAATTATATTTACAGTCTTATATCATGAATTAAAAAAGTATCTTATGTATTTTTGTTAGGCAGGATACTAGACATTTTTAAGATGTGGAGTTGATCAAAGTAGAGGAATAATTAGTTATAGAGAAATCAAATAACAATTTACAAAACATGATTATTTAAAAATATGGAATAACTAATTTATTGTTAATAATGTAAATTATAAATAATTACTTAATTTGATTTTATATCAATTTTTTTATTATTAATGATTGATCAATTGTTTTACTTATTAATCCAGATACATCTCTATTAATTTTAATTTTTCATTTAATTATTATTAAAAGAAAAAAGACCTCACAACATTCTTCAAAACTATTTAAATTTCTATTTTGTTATATTAGGATAATTTTATTGATATTTCATTTATAAGGATGAGATCTAAAATTAAACTTAATAGGATCTTTTAATTTCACAAACAGCACTTTGAAGAAGTTAATATTGATTAAGCCTCATAATATTAATATAAAAATTTGGGAAAACTAATAATTATTAAATTTAGGAGATTCAAGTTCTATATATGTGGGTAGAGAGAAAATAATAAAATAAAAATCTGAGTATATATTAATAATTATGGGGATCCTGTCTTTTAATAATGTATTTTAATAATATAAACCTTGATTTTATTAAATTCATATATCATTCTTCTTATCCCAGAAGTAAAAGAAGTGAAGAGTTACTGCTTATGAAATTTTATTCACAGATTCTTGTGTCTTGAAAATTATTGGCGAATAGATCTTAGAATTGAATCCTCTATCGATTCATATATGATATGTACGCAGAAATACCTTTATACAAAATTAATACATAACCCCATATTAATACCGACCTTAACCCTAAAATCTAATGCAAAACCTAACCTTAATCCTGGTATTTAGGATGTACTTTATTAAGATCTTACCTTCTATAAATTGCTGTAATCATAATTAATATGTTCTTTCAATTTTTCAAGATACGAACTGAAGTATACTATGTTAAAAGTATATCATAAAGAGTTTTTGAAAAAATCACATTTACTTTTTATAAAAATTTTTTTATGAATTAATAAAGATCCAATTTTGCCAAATGAAGAGGGAAGAAGAGAATAATTTATATTTGCATTCAGAAAAGAGTAAATTTTATACTTCTGCTCTGAAATTCAAAGCCTAAGAAGTGCGCCTCCTTTCATATTTTGAAAATTCTCTTATATTTTAAGGTGTTTTGTTAGAGTCCCAATTAACTTAAATATACATGATAATACCTAATTTGTAAAAACTAAGAAATGAGTTTAATAATTTAGGCATTTATTGTTAATCTTGAGATGGAAAATTTATTTTTATTCAAAAAATTAATTACTATTGGAGTGAACAATTAAATACAAAAGTGTATTAATAATACAAAGAAAATCTTTACTTTTTAATCCTAATCTAATGCTTCTTATTTACAAACTGAAAGGGAAAAAATCAAATAAGAGTATTCTTTATTGTTAAATTAAAGCCAATTATAGTTAGATGAGAAACTATTCAACTCTTTGGACACAAAATGATAAAGATTTAAACTCACTTGTTACAAGATCGAGATTTTTTTCAATTATAAATCAAATTTATCCTATAAGTCTTTAAGAAAAGCATTAAAAAAGAACCAAAAAAACTGATCTTTTAATAAACAGATGAAATATCGGAAAAATTAAACATTTACTTTTAAAAAATTTCAACCCTAGTAGATGAGATATAAGATATGAAAATATCTAAAAATATTATGAGTACAGAAGACATTAATATCACTACTTTGCAACCTCAAATCGATGAT